ATGCCTGCTGGTAAGGATCTGTGATGCTCACCAGGCGCATGTTATTTTTCTGACACTCTCTTAGAGCATCGGACCAGGTTAGAGTCTTCAGGATTATTTTGTACAGATTATTTAGATACTTTACAGTTTCTGAAGTATTCTGCAAGGTCTGTCTGCCTTCAATTTCTGTGTGTAAAAGAAAAATAAAATATAAAAACCACCCATTCTGCAAGTCATAGGACATTTGTTCAAAAATTTCCCTATAATGTGTTTTAGAAATTACTTATCTATTCATGTATTTTAGATTTGGGGTGGAAGAACTATGTATGCCTTTCTTCATACCTTAGGTAAAATGTATGAGCCACAACATTTGTTTTCTAAAATCAGAAGAAAATTCCATTTTAGTTGATTTTACTTAGGAAGGAGAAAAGTTATAAATAAAAGTAGTCTGTGATAAGATTACGATTTCAAGTTGGTGTCAAATACTTCCTTTGTTTGAACTGCTTCAACAAGAGAAGGTGTTAGGTGTTTTATTACAAGGTTTTCTTCTGGGAGAGCTCCCATGAAGAAAGGAACAGAACCATCCACAAGAGGATATATTTTAATTATTGCTTTACAGTACTTTTCTAAATAAGGCAGTTAATAAAAGTATGAAACAAACAAGCAAAGATTAATTTGATGAAAATGTTTTTCAGAAGTACATAATCTACTTGAGGTTCTCATTATATAACAAAGTTTTTTTTTTATTTGTTAAAAAATGATTGTGATCAATAAAATAATTTAATGCCCTTTAAAAATATCTTTTTGAAAATATGGGTGATTTCTATTTTTAAGTACACATTTTATTTTTATTTGGATTATAGGCAGTCATAGATAATGATCCACTTATAATGCTTCACATCTTTGTATTATTGTTAAATTTAACTGTGAATGTTCATACTGAATTCAATTAAAAACATAAAGATTTTTCTCCTCCTTTTCCCATGATAGAAAGTAAAATCTGAAAAATGCCAGGGTAGAAAGAAGAATAAAATACAACTTATAATCATTAGACAACTCTTATTAACAAAGTCTGTCTAATACTTAATTTTGAGTTTTATTTAAATATGGCAATGATGCTTGAAAAAAATTACATTCCATTTGAGATAATGTTACTGAGCCCATATGAATTTAGTCATTCTGAAATTTTAAGGAAGCTATATGATTATAAATTAATATTAATTAATTTATAAGATTTTTGTGAAAAAGTACTATGCATAGCTAACAGCATAAAATACCATAGTTATCTAGATAACAATCTATACCTGAGTATTTCTGACAGAGAGACAGAGTATGGTGTTCACTGCAAGAAGTAAAATTCCATGTTCCAGTAAAAGGTGAATTTCGGTGGTTGAGCATTAGGGCACAGTGGTAGCGGGACTCTTCATCAAAAATCTAAACAAAAAGGAAAATAAGTAAAGCAATCATGAAACTAACAGTTTGAAGATCTTGGCAAAAACACTTTATATATCAACCTGAATTTCTCCTCCTATAAAAAATTCCATTAAGAAGCTGACCATGAAATCTCTAAGAAAATCCTGATAAACTTCCAAAGCATGAGAAAAGAGCAATTAACTTTAGAAATTACAAAACAAAGTAGTGGCAATATTGAAAACTATATTTTCAAAACAGATAAAGAAAAAGTGTTTGAATGAGACAAAACACAATTATACTAATATTTAATACTTGGCTTTCATTCCTGACATTTCAAGTAAGCGAAGAAGTAATGATTATTAACTCGATTTATTAGATGTTTATAAACTTTTTATAATGACAAATTGTGTACCATACAATAAGGAACTCACCTTAAAGCTTTGGTCCTATACTAGTCACTATAAAAACTTCCATAAATAAAAGTATCTATCTATATTTTATTCTCTGACCACAAATCAATAATACTAGACATGAAAACTTTTTTGAAATATAGTCCCTATACTTTTCTCTATGTTTGACACAGAACACACTTAGAAAAATAAGAAAAGCTTATTCCAGCAGATACAGATTAAAAAACAACACATAAGCACACACTACTCAATAAACATTAAACCAAAAATAAAAAAATAAATACGGGAAAGAATAATATGAGCATTTACAAGGAATATGAGTAAAATGTTATGTGGAGGCAAACATGTATTATTTAAATGTACTGTTTATTTATTTATTCATTCATTCATTTAATAAATGTACTATTTTATAAAGAAAAGATGGACTATGATTAGAAAATCAGCAAAAATGTAACTCCAAGGAAAACAGTATAGAAAAATGTAGTAGTATTGGTAAATGCATCTCAAGCAATAAAGGTAGAGGGTGAATAGGGAGGAGAAAACCAGTAACATATATCAGTTTTTGTAAATCTCTAAATAAGAGAAAGGAAAAATTATCAAAATAAGATCTGGAGATTTAAAAAATAGCATATGAAACTTCATTCTAATACATTTAAAAATCTAAATAAAATAAACAAGTTTCTTGAAAAATACAAATTAGCATAATTGTTTTAAGGAGAGGTACGAAAAACACACTGTAATATTAACTTTGGAGAAAATTAAAAATTAATAATAAATAGCTCATTTTAAAAACTATGTGTCAGGTACTGTGCTAAAAGCTTTAAAAGAATTGTCTTTTGTAATCCTCACATTGTATTGCAGGTTCAACAGTAACAGATGAAACATTACAGACGAAAAATTGAAGCTTAAGAAAAGTTAAGTGAACTTCCAAAGGCATACTAAATGTCTGAATGGTGTTCAAACTCAGACAATCCTACTCAAGAATTTAGGCCATCGACTACTTCATTAAATCCCTTTATTAATAAGAACGATCTCTGGAAAGGGTTCTAACAGCACATGATTCTAATGTGATTCCTTCAAACTCTCAGGGAAAGGTAATTCCCTAGGGTGAGTCCTAGTTTTAAAACACAAAGGTAGGAAGCTATCCAGTTTATTTTATGAAGCTCACATAATCAGAAAAAAAATCTGACAATATGGCATAAAAAAATTTACTCTATAAATAGAGATGAAAATGTACCCAAATAAAATTCTAACAAATCTAATTCAGTAGAATAGTAAAATAATAATCTACTCTGAGCAACTAGATTTTTATGACAAGAAGATAAAGATGATTTAATATAACATCTATTAATGTGTTATACCACATATCAATAGGCCTAACAACAAAAAAAAAAAGTATGACAATTTCAAAAGATGCTGGAAACAAGTTTTTAAAAATCCAGTACTTATTCCTTAATAAAGATCCTAAATAAGCTAGTTATAGAATGATATATCTCAAACGAGAGTCAGCATCATATACATGTAATAATGAAAGATGGCAGAAAGTTCTGTTGAAGTCTAGATCATGTCTAAGATGGTGTTTATTACTCCTGGTACTACCACATTTCTAGAATTCCTACCATATGTAGTGAAACGTGAACTGCTATTTGCAAATTATGACTGTCTAATTAGGAACCCTAAGAATGTCTAGTGAAAAACTCTGAGAAGTAATAAGAACTTTTAGTAAGATGAATGCCTATGAAATAAATATATAAAAATCCCCAAACAATAGCTTTTCCATATATCAGTAAAAAAATGAAGAAAAACCTGTCATTATCAATGGCATTAAGAGAACTCCTACAAAAACTTCACTGAAAGATTTAAAGGAAGACTTGAATAAATACCATATTCTCAAGTTAGAAGGTCAATAAAAAGGTCCCTAAAATATCAAATTCTCATAGAAGTTTACTTAATTGCTTTGACTGACTAAATCAAATTGACTAAATAATTCTGGTTTGTCTGGAAGAATAGGCAAGAATAGCTAAAAATACTTTAAAGTCGTATAATAAAAGACAACTAATCCTATTATATTTTTAAATATAGCAAAATTATAGTATTTAGATCAGTGAATATATCTTATACACACATAGTTCACATATATAATAAAGGAGGCATCCTATATTGCTTTTAACAAATGGAAGTATATGCAATAAATAATGCCAGACAATTGGCTAGGATTAGGGAAAAGGATTATGTAGTCATTGACAATATACACCATATACCATGGCTATATCATGCTATTAGAAATAAAAGACAACCCATAAAACAAAACAAAGAAAATATAGGCATACATTTAACTACCATTAACATGATGGACTTTCCAACATAAAAGTAATAGAGGAAAAAAAAAAAGAAAAGAAACAGATTTGAACATATATACATGCACAAAACCAAAACATTTCTGTAATATTTTTGGTATTCAAATTTAAAGAAAAAAACCTAGGGAAATATTTGCAATAAACACAAGAAACACAGGGTCAGCACATTTAATATTTACATAGTCATAAATTTAGTAAGAAATACATGAAGGTTTTGATAGAAAAATGAACAAAGAATAAAAATATTTACCCTTGATGAAATTCAAATTATTATTGAATTTATAGAGGCTCATTTTTATTAGAAATCAGAGAAATATAAATGAAAATATAATATAGTTTAAACTACCAAATTAGCAAGAATTTCTAGAAGATAATGCTCCTTAGAGGCAATGTAGTTGAGAAGCTAAGAATGTTCCCTCTGCAGACTCTTGGACCTGGATTTATTGCTGACTTTGCACGGATAGGCTCTGTGTCACTGGCAAGTCACATGTCTGTCCCTGGATTTCTAAGATAAGAAAGGAATAACAGACCTTTTCACATCTATTGTGCAGATTAAATGAAATAATGCATATGATGCATTAGCAGAGTGCCTGACAAATATTATTAGCTGCTCAACAAATGTTAGAAATTATTAGTATGGGGGTATGGATAGAAGGGCCGACACAATATACTGCTGATAAAAATACAAACTCATAAACTTTTCTGGAAAGAAATTTGGTAACCAGAACTTTATAACTATTTATTTATTTTGGACCTGGCTATATGACTTCCAAGCCTTAAGGAAGGTAACCTGAAATATAAACAAAGATTATGCATAGAGATATTCACCGAAGCACTATTTAAGATTATGTAAAACTGAAAATCTAAATACCCACCATTATTTTGATAAAGAAATACTTGCAACCATTAATACTATGGGTCATGGTTAAAAGTTTATAAGCTACTGGCCTAAGTAAGTGTAAGTGGGATAAGGGTTGATATTTTTCTTTACTGTGTTTACTTCTCTATAACTGTCAAATTTTATATAATAACTAAGGACTATTTTGATATTTACTTGGTACATAATTACATATGATTCAGAATTCTCTTTGCCATCATCAACTCTGAGCAAAGTTACATTGCATTAGGAACATCAACTGATTATTATCTAGGATGTATTTTTGGAATTAGACTTTAAAGTTAATTTCTTAATCTCTGCCTTTTGTGTTAAAGGTGGTGTGTATCCAGCAAATAGGGAGGATAGAAGCAATGGGCAGCAATCTCATGGTATAGATTAACTATTGTTAATATAATGTCTTCTTCCCTTCTACAGCTTCTTTACATTTAGCCCTTAGGGAAAAATGATCACTAATCACCAATTTTGTACTTTTTGCCTCAGGAGACTGAAGCTGACAGCTTCAAATCCCAAAATGTTAAGTAAAGCGTTTAAAATTGCCTCTATTTGAAACTCACTACTTGATGGTTTTACATGGTTGTGAATTAAGTGCAATGGATCCGATGCTATTGTGAAAAACCAGGACATATATATGAAGGTTGGGGAGGTTCCTGTTTTTCTTCTTCTTGTGACAGCTGTATTGAGATATAACTCAAATATGAAATAATTCACTCATTTAGAACATATATTTTATAGTTTTTAGTATATTTATTACCCCAATTGATTTTAGAACATTTTCACCCATATCTTTTCACCATCACCCCCAATTCTTCCATCTTTCTTAGCCTCTGGCGATCAATAATCTATGGCCTATTCTGGATATTTCATGTAGATAGACTCACAAAGTAGACTCCTGTTCTTAATCCAATAATTTATGGAAGACTTGAGGATTTCAGAGAGCTACATAGGTAATTAATTCAAAAAAGCTTACATTTGTTGGTATTCTCAGCCTCCGACCAACCAACAATGGGTGAAAGTTACTGTATGTCATCTCTCTGTCATCTATCCATTTGTTTATTCTTTCATAGGCTGTCCAGCGCAAACCAATCCATAAAGCAGCTTCCATATTCGGAAGCAAGGATGTAATAAAATCTGTCGGGAAGAGATTTTTAAAAAGCATTTGACTTATTCAAATTAAAAGTATACTAAAAATGTCAACAAATACCTCTTGCTTAGCTACCAAGACAGTCTTTCACCTACTCTATAAAAAAAAGTAATTTAATAAGATTTTTAACATATGTTAATTTCCCTCCGCCTCCTAAAACTCACTTAGCCCTAAAATCAGAATAAATCATATTTCCAAAACAATTCTGCTACCTTGTTCTCTCTGGTTCAAGACTGTAGGAAGGGTGCCGCCATAGGTGTGACAAGTGTTGCTTGCTTCAGAAAATGTAAGAGACTTGGGTTTGATCTTTAGAAAACACTGCAAACAAAGAACATATATGAAGCATTAGTTTCCAGACATGGGAAAGCTCACATAGGAAATAAATGCCTCATCTTTTAAAAGACTGATAATTTTTGGTCTGTGAAACATGGAAATTTACAAAGTAGTACTGTAAAAATGCAGATCTACACTCTCAATTTAAACAACTGAAGAGTGGTCTTCAAACCATTTTTTTAAATCTCCCATTTATTGAGTGCTTCCTCTGCGCTGAACAGTTTGCATAGTGTCATCTCATTTAACTTTTACAACAAATGGGGAAATTGAAGCATATGGAAGTTACATTTACCCATAAGTAAAATATCCATACAATGGTATGGTCAGCATTTAGATTCTGTTACATGTGATTTCAAAGTCTGTACTCTTAATCATCACCTTCTTATACAAAAAAAACCTCACGCTTTTAAAGAAATTATCTCCATGTCCCTTGGCAGAATATTTTAATTCAAATTTCTATCAACCGTGTAAATTAATTTAGTCTCAGTACCTTGGGGAAAAAAAGACTGTCCTAATTTTAAAAAGTCAAAATACACAGCTAATATTTTAACTTACTACAGATGCTTTCAGCTGTCAGATACATCTCTCCCTTTTTTTTTCTGATATTATGATCATGTTAGTGTGGAGTAAAATGTCCCAAATTGTGTTCCTTGAAACATTCTACAAAATGTTTTTATTTTATCCTCATTATAGACTGGAATGGTCAGTGAGATATAAGTCATCGGGTGGTTCAAGATCAGTGATTAATAATTGGTTAGCATATGTGTAATTCTCAAAAAGTAGCTTGGGAAACACTGGTCTAATTCGATTGGTAGATGATGTTTGTAAGTTTTCCTTAAGGGGGAAAATTTAGCAGGCAGAAATTAAGTCAGTTTCCTATATGCCACACAGGTAGTCCTGACTATTCAATATATTACTATCTCTTGACAGAACAACTTCAGCAATTTAAGTGTTAGTAACAACAGAATAGGAACAGTGTTTTGGAAGGCCTATAGGCATGACTAATTTGAGAGTTAACTTAGTTCCTTGCAATGTTGAGGTTTAGATGAGATACTGAAATATGCAGAGGCTATCATAGTGAAGCTACTGAATGGGCTGCCATTCTTCCACAGGCTACAAAACCATCAGGAAAGCAATCATCATTTGCACAATGTAGTAATACTCTTTTTACCTTATTCTGAAAAGTAATCCACTCCCCAGAGCATTCTACTTTAGCTGCAGGATCTGGACTATAATTTTCCAATGAGGATACACTGTATTTTTCACAGATGAAGGGCAGCTTGGTACTACAGTCTGCTGGTTTATTTAAGTCTGAGAAATGAAAAGCAAAATTACTGCGGTGAGAATTTTCCATTCAGCACATTTTAAAAATAATCCAGTAATAAAGTCTTTAAATAAATTTTCCCCAAATGGTTAAAATATATTCCTTTTCTTCTCTAGCCATCTTTGTCTTCTATTTCATATCAGTAGATTATAGCATACCAATACTGCCTATAAAAATGCACACATGTGGTGTAATGACCACAGCTACCACAGTTCCTGATGGCGGGAAATAGAGTTGAAGAAGGCTAATGAAGGGGACAGGGACCTAACTTGTATTTTAGAACTGTTGCCTGTTTATATCTGCAAATTTGTCTATAGGCTTATCAGTTATGAAAGTGGTGAGTTTAGTTCTAAGTAATTGTTTTAGGATAAAGGAAGTCAAAATATTCATAGTGAAAAGCACTTTTATTTGCATTTGGAATTTAAGCTATTGCCAATAGTCATAAATGAAGCTACCAAACATATAACTGAAAGGAAAACGAGATTAAGCTAGTAATTGAACCTGCATAATTTCACATACTGCATAATCGACATTAAGGATTTAAAATTAATTTTACCCCTAAACCAAGTCTTGGCAGACAAGTACAAGCATTCCTCTCCAAATGTTATAGGAAAGTGGTGCCATGGATGTCGTGAGCTGAAAGAAAATGAGAGATTTGACAACTCATTCTGTAGTTACATGTTTCATTCTGTTAACTGTAATTTTACTTCTAAATTTAATGTTATGCCATTATTTTATACCACTTTATTCTTGATGCTAATATGCAAAAAGTACTTGGTTTCTTTAGTCTAGGCACTTCATGGATTAATGTTCAATACTAATTATAAATAGTAATCCATTTAGTAAAAGGAAATTTGAGCTGCTTCTTTTAAATGATAACTTTACAAGGGCAGCATCAATGATGTCACATACATAAAATGACGATCCATTATTGTCTGCTCAATAGTTCTCACCCACCACTTCTGTTCATCATCAGATATCTGAAAAACAAACCAAAAAGCCATCTTTACATGTGCTGAGTTTTATAGGAGAGTTTTGATTTAAATACTCTGTCCCACCATAACCAAAAATCACTAAAATTTCTAGACATTCTGTTACTTTGGCCTCTAAATTATACAAATTAAGTCCTTTCACCAAAAAAGTAGTTTAGAAATTCTTTGTGTATTCACAGGCCCTATTCTGTATACAGAAAATGTGGTTGCTATAATTATGGGGCACACATTAATTGGACAAATTGTGTACTGCTGCAACTATAAATTTAAAAATATACAAATTATTTTTCCTCCAAAAAGCTATTGTGCAAAGTTAGTTATTAGTAAAAACAGAAACTCAAGTTAACTATAAAGTTATTTTTTAGTAAAAAAGTGTGTCAAGGAATTAGAATAATTTGTATTATGTATTAATGCTCATTTTATAAATTGGTATTTATAATAAATTTTGAATTTTAAAACGTTAAGCAATTGTATTTAACTATTCTAACACAAAACAATGAATCTGAATGTTGTTAGGCAAATTTAACTTGAGAGGAACATTTAACTCTTGTAGATTTTGGAAAGATTTTTGAAAAATTTTTAATGCAATAAATATAAAAATAAAAATATTTAAAAAATACATTATTTTGAATTACATTTGCTATTTTGTTTTTGATGGCTTTTAGTCCTGCAAAAGATGTTAAAGTAGCCAGAAAGCTGTGATTGCTGGCACAATACAGGACAGCTTCTTCATAGTTTAAGTGAGGATCGGCAACAAACCAATATTCACTCCCTTCTATTACAACTGTAGGTCCATGAATTCCAGCACGCTCTAAAGAAGAAGAATATCAGAGTTATGACTGTGCAAACCAAACTGTACCCTCTAAGCCTGGATTAATGTTCAAAGCTATTTACAAATAGCAATCCATTTAGATTACTGGCTCTCTCTAGCCAGGGTGGTACTGTCTGAGCTAGTGAGTTGTTGTGCCATGCAGAGTCACGAAGACAAATCCAGCCTCATAACCTCATCCCACACTAGTTAATCACCTTCCCCGCTTGGAAATACTTCATCTCACTTGAAGAAGTACTAGAGAACAAGCTGGCATTTAGGCCTGGGTTTACACGATTAACTAAATACATTACTGAAAAAGTAAAAGCAGCTTCGGCTAAATTCCAATTTTCTTAACTCACCTGGATTGTACCAGTCTGGTGTTTTGAGAGTACGACCTGTATAAGGAAGACAGAAAGTGCCTTAGGTTTAGTATACAGTTACAGATCCTGGCATACTACAAGTGCCTTTAATCTAAGTCAAGAGGACTTGCAGTATTGCTGAGGTGTGTCCATTTCTGGCCAAACCTTTTCCTTTTATGGTATGATCGTTTCGGTTTGAATTTTGTGGGGCCTATGCTAAAGCTATTTTAGCAGCAATTGAAAAGGCAAATCTGTCAAATATTAATAAGGTATTCCTAGCAGTTCTCTACCTTATATCAAGGAAGACTAGATGGATAAATGTAGCTAATAATTAGAAAGTACTAATAAGTAAACGAATATACTTTTAAAAATTTTAATTATAGACTAAAATGTTCTTAGGTACTTTTGGCTCAACATTCTCAATGTTCACTTACCTTTTGGAATCTGGCACACCCAATCAAGTTTTGTATCACAAGCAAAAGGCCTTAAATAAATAAATTCTCTGTCATTGAAATGCCAGCTTCTTCGCCATGGCCTATCCATGACCTAAAGGAGAGAGAAGATTGTAGAACATTTTGAAGTTGCGCAGCCCTTAGAAAACACTAAACTATAAGCCCTATGGTCCCTAATTCCACTTTAGCTCTAGAGCCTAAGGTATTTGTTTAATAAACGAACACATGAATGAATGCAGTGTTGAAACAGTAGCAGCTTGAGCAAGAGACTGCAAAGGGACTGATAAAGATAATATATCATAAGGTCACATTTATGTCCCAAAATGCAAATTATTGTTTTTCTTTCTGTTTTTGTTGATATGAAATTGTAGAACCTTGCACCCTTAAATTTAGGAAAGATCAAGTTAGAAAAGAATATTTGGTTCAGTGGTTTCTAAGCATCTGGCTGTAGTAAAGCCGATCTGTGAAAAGTGACAAAGTCCGGCATCAGGTTCCTTCTTTGGTGTTGCTCTGTGTTCCTAGGATGTTGCCTTGCTCCACATGGTCCCAGATGGCACTCGACAAATTCCAGCCAGCAAGCAGGGGAGAAAAGAAGGGGGAGGGTGCAGGCTGGGAGGAGCATCCATCACTTTTTGGACTGTTTTCTCTTAAGGCCAAGATTCTGGCGGATACTGTGGCAGGTAAGGAAAGATTCTCCTACAATACTGCCTGGACTAGCGTTATTCCTGTTGCAGAATGCATTAGTGAGTCTTTTAGTTTTTGGTAGATTTTTCAATCTTTTCACACATGGGGACTCTACCTACATAGAATTTAAACTATTGTATCAGTGTTCTGGAAACTTCACAAGCTCTCTGAAGTTTTCATCTTTACACGTGTTAAATTGGGAATCTAGAAAAATGGCTTGATACTATACAGTTTACTACTAGAACACTTACTTTGAAACTAATGCTTTCCAATGGCCTTCTCAGCTCTTTTTCTCAACCTTCCTGTAACATCTCTGGTCAATCGCCTTCTCTAATCTCTTTCTTGGACTTACATAGCAAAGAAGATGTTATCTAGATGTCTCTTCCGTCCTTGTCTTCTTACATTTTATGTTAGTGATTCCTCCAAATCTACTTCTTGGCCCTTTGAGCTTTCTTTTTATGTACATTTTCCCTTCAATTCCAGTCACTTAGTTTTTACTCACTGTAGGATATTTCTTACTACTAGCTTGAATTCAAATATCTAAATAAAATGCACTATTTTCTTCATAAACCAGTACTCCTTTTGAGTGTTTTTAAATGTGCCTACTCATAAAGCATAGTGGACCCAGACATGTAGGTTTCAATTTTGTTCTGTAACCATGTAAGCTATTTAGAATTCAAATGTCTTCCTTATAAGATCAATACAGTAACAGTACCTACCTCACAAGGTTGCTTAAGTATTAAAGTAAAATAATATATGTAATATGCCTAGCACTGTGCCTAGCTCATGAGTTAACAAGTATTAACAACTGTTATCATCATCATCATTACCACCATCACCATCATTATTCTCCCATAACACTTCTGCTCTTGCATATAACTTATACATTGCCCGTCATAACCCTTGTCATTACTTATTTTCTTGTATTTATCTCCTACTAAACTAAGTTCTGTGAAGACAATGACTGTTTAATACCTTGTCATAGTTCTATTCCCAGAGCATTACAGACTGCATAGACATACTACTTATGGAATGAATAAACAAATGAATTCTGCAAAGGAAGATGACTAACTCGTCTTTTACATTGTCTAGTCCTAGCTGTTGTATTTTGAAATCTGTCTCCAGATGAATCTTCTCATACCCTCTTTGGCTCATGTCAAAAATCTTTTAAAATACTGTTGCCTACCAAAAAATGTACTAACTTCTTAACCTGGCAACAATCTAATTTCCCGACTTTGTTTTCAACCCCGACACCGATTAAAACTTCTTGATCTGTATTCCGTTCTCCTCATTGCCTTAGCCTCTGCTTCAACTCCTACTTTATTTTATGCCACTTCCTCACCCTTACCCTATCCCGCCTAACTAAACCCTATCCCTCCTTAAGGCTTAATTCAAGTCTCAGCTCTTTCTGGAAAGAGGCTACAGAAATCACTTCCTCTTCTGAGTTTCATTAGCCTTCTTTAGCTCACTCATTTGGAGCTTATTACCGCAAAGTAACAGTCGTCTTTCTTGAATATGAATATAAATTTTATCTTCTCAAATTAAGTGTAAGTTAGGTTGCTTGACGGCTGGGCAATATACTTCTTACCTCCCATCACAGTTAATATCATGCTCCACACACAAAAAACACTCCTTGGATCTGTTGCCTGACTGTACATGATGCCAGATTTATTTTTAAAATACGCATATTGTCCAGCAGTGTACTGACCTTGATAGCAGCACAGTCTCTGATATCATA